TACTGTCCCAGCATATGAAACTACATAAGGGTCTAATTACATTTCTTTTGTAGACAAGTCTTTCCTTTTTCAGAGGAACAGCTATTATTAAGCCTCTTGTTTATTCCCCCTGCCAGAGTTTTTTTGTACTTTTTATGTACACCCCTAAATGAAAGTGTTTATTTCCCTTTGTAAGGAGAAGTATCAATACTAGGAAAAGAATCATTCAGGTCTAAGAGTAACATCTGAGAAAGATTACTCACCTTGTTGTAGAGGCTGGCAAGTCTTAAGTCTGTAGATCAAAAGTGAAGCTGAAAGCTTCCCTGACTCACGCAGGTGCAGGAGCTGATGAACTCAAGATTGACAGACAGGCTGCTGGCTGCTGAGTCTGATGAGTCCAAGATCAGCAGATCATTGGCTCGCACCATGTCCTGTCTTATCATGGGGAATAACTACATCCAGCTGCCAAACCACTCCAAACCATGGCCCAGCCAGGTTGGCATACAACCTTAACCATTACATAGGGTAAACTGGATATTAATAACTGAAAATCAGGAACAGCTTTTTAGAAGAAATTAGGTTTGATTTGAGTCCTGAAAAACATAGAATTTATTAACTGATTGTGGGGGGGGGGGGTTAGTTCCGGTTAACTTTCTAGGCATGTTGTTGTTGCTATGTGCTGTGGAGTCGGTTCTAACTCACAGTGACTCTTGCTTGGGTTTCTGAGGCAGTATCATGATGGAAGTAGATTACCCAACCTTCCTTCTGAGGAGTGGCTGGTGGGTTTGAACTGCCAGCCTTCTGGTTAGCAGTCAAGTGCCTTAGGCATTATGCTCCATATGAAAAGAGCCAGGTATAGTAGTTAAAAAAAACTGAGGTAGTTTTGGCTTGTGAGTGTAGCCATAAACAAAGGCAAAGCTTCACTTGTGTACACAGAATGGAATGACCTTTTTATAAGATTATGTAGATCACACTTGAGCCATTGTGCACCACATAGTCTTTGTGGATGATACATACTGCAGTTCTTCTATGGTTGTATATAGTTATTTGCATGGCCCCTGGTCTATGTGAGTAGTACAAAGACAGATTGGCTTACTTTTAGTCACTGTACCTTGCGGTATGGGGGAAATCAACTTGTTAGCGAGTCTTCAACAATTTTCTCAGTGGTTTTTTTTTTTTTTTTTTGCCTCCTCTTGTTCTGGTATTCTAATCAGGTGTATGTTGTTTCTTTTCATGTCATCCCATGTAACTCTTAGGTTTTCTTCATGTCTCTTAAACTTTGTTCTGATTTTTCCTCATATAGGCTGGTGTCAAAGGATTTGTCTTCTAGCTGGGAAATGTGTTCTTCAGCCAATTCTTGTCTACTCTTTTGTCCTTCCACTGTGTTATCTATCCCTGTAACTTTAGTGTTCATCTTCTGGATTTCTAATTGCTGTTTTTGTATGAGTTCTAAATATGTATGTATCTTGTTACTTTTCTTGTTACTTTGCTCTTGAATGATTTCCCTGAATTGTTTCAGGGTACTGTCTGTCTTCTCCTTGCTTCTGTTTATGGTTTTCTTGAGTTTTTGGAGAGTCCTATATATGTGTCTTCTGAATTCCTTATCAGATAGTTCTGTTGCTTGTTCTTCCTTTGGAAGATATCCAAATTCTTTAGCTTGGGCATTAGTTTCTACTATTTTGTCCTGTTTTTTTGTTTGATTTGAAGTTTTCTGTTGTTTTCTAGAGAATTTGAAGTAGTTGTCTTTATTAGTTAGTTATGTACTGATTGTTTCACTCTGGTTTTCTGTTTTACTATATCTGGAAGTGTGGAGCAGGTGTACTCCTTTGTTTATTAACTCAGCTGGACTGGATCACTCTCCAGCTTTCTCTATTTTGGTGGAATCACTGGTGGGGGGATTTGAGTGCAGGTCTCTGTTCCTCATGAAGAGGATTTGGAGTTGGGATGAGCAGGTGTTGTCTGCCATCTGTTGTTGATCCTGTGGTGCAGGAACTACTGGTGTTACTTGTCTCTTGGGTAAGGTGTTCAGTGTAGTAGCTACGGTTGACTAGTGGAGGATTAAAATATTCCTTCTATTGGATGAGGCAGGGGAAAAAAGGGGGGTGGTGAAGTTCCAGAAGTGAACCCTAGGATAGAAAGGCGGAGGCTGTTTTCTGTGCTTAGTGCGAGATAATTCAGTCAGTGATGCAGTCCTGGGAAGGACAGCCTCCTTGGCCCCTGGCTCTGTCTGAGGCCATCTGCCGAGGATGGCATGCAGTCGTCAATCAAAGCCCCACGGTTCAGACCTGATAGTTGTCCCAAAGGACAAAGGGCCATACTCTTCCATGCAGATCCACAAGTTGCAAAATCCTAGGTCCCAGATCCTCTTTGTGCTATAAAGGGTTGCTAAGAGTTGGATCTGAGCCCACTGCCATGTATTGGCTTTGGGGTTCTGTTTACTCAGTTTCTTTTCTCTTTCCTTTACTTTCTTTCAGACTCTGGGGAAGTTTAAGCTAAGGGAGTTCTTTTCCGTTTCCAGTACAATCTTCATCCCTACTCAAAGCCCCAGCTCACCTTGAAAAACTACTGAAGTGGCTATTCTGAGTCTTTAAAGCCTGTGGGTTCCAGTGATGTGATTTTTTTTTCCCTTCCTCCTTGATGTCTTTTATATTTATAATGACTTCTCTTTGGCTTCACTGGCTGGGTGGTTTTCTTTATTTTTCCCAGTCTCTTAACTTACTACCTTTTGCTGCCTTCACTGGATCTAATATTTCATCTTCTTGTTAGCTGCTCGTAACTCCAATATCATTATTTGCATCTGCTTTACCTAGTTGGAGGAGCTCTGGTGGTATAGTGCCTCAGGCATTTAACTGCTAACCAGCAGGCTGGCAGTTCAAACCTACCAGCCACTCCTTGGAAGGAAGATTGGGCAATCTACTTCCATAGAGATACCGCCTCGGAAACCCAAGGAGGGGTCGCTATGAGTCGAATCGACTAGACGGCAGTGAATTTGGGTTTTTTTGGTTTTACCAAATTTTTCAAAATCCCTGTTGGTAGAGGGACTGAGCATGCAGACTGTCAATATGACACCATCTTCCCAGAATCCACTTTTACTCAGTCTAGATGTGGATGGAGCTTTGGTAGTGTAGCGGTACAAGCATTTGGCAGCTAACCAAAAAGTTTCCAACACACTAGCTGAGGCAGTCTGTTTCGGTAAAGATTTACAGTTTTGGAAACCGTATGGGGCAGTTCTACTCTGCCTTGTAGGGTTGCTATGGATGGGAATTGACTTGATGGCAGTTTATTTGGTTTTGTTTTGTTTTTCCTTTTGGTAAATACAGGTAGAAAACCTTGCCAGAGAAGTGCTTTCTCCTGAATAAATCCTTTCATTAATGAGAGGGATAAAAGGATACATGAGCATTTTCTACAAGGTGGAAATGTGAGGGCAAACACATTATGTTTCAGGTTAATTTGCAAACTTTTCAACATGGTATATGGTCTTTGTAATGTAAAATGAATCAGCATGAACTGGCCTCAGCAGAAGCTCTGCTCTAGTTTCTGAACATGGAAGGTAATTCCCAACAGGGAGGAAAAAAAAAATTAATGCATGCAGTTGTCTACAAGTTCAAGTTTTGAATATCCAGATAACTAGTTTATTGTCTATATTCATAAGAACCCTCTGAGGGGTGAAAGTTTGCTGTATATCTCAATCTTGACTAAACTTTTTATTAATTATTGAATGATTACTTATATAGGATAAAATTTTAAAACGTTTTATTCTTTGAAATGATTTAGTGGTTCAATGTAATCTATAATTTTGCCTGTATTTTTAAAAATCTTTAGATGTATATTAATAGGCTCATGGTATATAATACTAAATTTTTGTACCCAAATGCTCAAACGTCTATCTTTAGTAGTCAGTGAAATACATATATATATTTGAAATAATGTTCTTTCCCTCATATCTTGTAGTAGATCTTGCCCTATGTCAATTTAACAATGCAATTTCAACACTACCAAAGAATTACAAAGGTCTACAATATCGGGGCCGACTCGACGGCACATAACAACAAAACAACAACAACAACAATATGTTGTGGTTAATAATTTCTTTAAGTAGTAAGTTGACAATACATGCTGTGTGGCTAGAGTTGAAGCAATAGTCATTTGATAGTATACTTCAGTGGTCCTTCAAGGCAGTCCCCAGACTAGCAGCATCATTACTATCTGGAAGTTTATTACAAATGCAGACTGTTGGACTCCACCCCAGACCTGAATTAGAAGCTCTGGTGGTGAGGCCCAGGGACTAATCCTTTGTATGGTCAAGCTTGAGAACCATTGGAGTACCAGCTTAGCTTCCTACATAGCATCTGTATTTGAATATAGATTTGTGGTTCTCTGTATTATTACCCAGGAGGTCTGGTGGTATAATGCCTAAGGCATTTGTCTGCTAACTGGAAGGCTCATGTGATTGAGAAGCAGCTGTTTCTTTGTGAGATAGAAAAGCCAGTTGCAAGTGCTTGTGTTAAAGTGAAGGCAGTTGTTCACCAGAGAATAGCAGTTTTATGGAGGAAATTTTATGTCATAATGATATTATAAAATTGGGGGACTTTATGATAGTCTTTTGCAAATATTAATGGTACAATCTTCTACACTTAGGGGTGGGTTCTACCTCATGGAATGGTCAACCTTAGAAGCTATATGATACTAACATTCATTTCCAACATGGAATTGATTAGTTTCGTTTTCTGGATTAGATAAAAGAGTTAAGAAAATTTTTATTTGTTCCATGACCATGGAATATGAGGTTTCCAGTTTCTCTCAGGAACATTGATTGTAAATGTTCATATTTATAAATTTAAATTGTAGTATATATTCTGTGCTACAGATCTGGGTCTGTACTGAGACCTGCTGCTTTATCGTATTCAAATTGTTTTCTTAAAATTTATACCCCACATAGGATAGTACTCTGCGTTTATGTTAATCAGAAATGTTTATAAGTATTAAAAATAAAATTTAATTCTGAGTTTTTTTATTTTCAGCCTGAAAATCTTGCTCAGAAGCTTCCAAACCTTGTGGAACTGTGAGTCTATTTATTAAAAATTTTAAAAGCAAGAATCATAATGATTTTAAGTTACTTGAAATAATAGAATATGCCATTCAAGTGTATTATTATTTTTTGGTATCATGATCATGGTGTTTATGTAGGTCGACCTCTGGTTCAGCTAAACCTAATGGTATTTCAGAGTATTTTACCATTTAAATTTGTGGTTTAAATATCTTACCTTGATGTAGTGTAGATGGTGAAAGATAACGTTTTCTCTGGGCACAGTGTCTTTGTCACAGAATCCTTTACTACTATCACTCCTGCTACTACTAATACATGTGATACTTGATACAAACAGTAAGACAGTATAAAAGATTTAAAATACAAATGAAAATCTCCTTGTATGCATCCTCCATATTTTATTTGTTTTAGTTTTTCTTAAGCTAAATAATGTATTTACTTTTTTTTTAATATATCAACTTAAAATATCTGTTGATTAATTTACCACTTAGGAAGATAATAAATTTAGATATCTTATATTTCCCTTTTTTTCTTAGCTGCTTCTTTAGTTTGTAGAAAGAAGAATTTGTGTTTCTATTTCTTGTTCTCTTTGTTATTTGGCATAGATTTCAGGAGGTAAAGGAAAGCTAACTTTATACCTCTATCTTTAGGCTGAAAGCCTCTGTCACTTCTTTTTTTCCGTGATCTTTTATTTTGAAAAATATCAAACCAGTAGAAAAATTGAAAGCATAATACAGTAACACTCTTATACCCTACACCTAAATTTATCAATTGTTAACATTTTTGTCAAATTTCTTTTCTCTCTTTTTCTCTTCTACCTGCTTTCTCATGTGTGTGTACATTTTTCCCCCCTCAATCATTTGAAAGTAAATTGCAGATATTATGATAGTTTGCCCTTAAATACTTAGCTTGTATCTCCTAAGAATAAGGCCATTCTTGCTCATAATTATAATATCATGATCATATCCAGGAGAATGAATACTGGTTCCATAATATCATCTAATATGTAGTTCATTATCATCTAATATGCAGTCCATATTGACATTGTCTCAATTTTCTAAAAAACCTCTTTGTAAATGTCTGAATTTATCTGTTTCCTCTTTTTTTTAAAAAAAATTTTAGTGATGAAAGTATACATAACAACAGATATGCCATCTCAGCCATTCCTACATGTACAATTCAGTAACATTGATTACATTCTTCAAGTTGTGCAACCATTCACACTATCCTTTTCCAAATCATTTTTCCACAACCAACATAGCTTCAGTGCTTCCTAAAAACTCCCTCTTTCTCCCTCCCTACTGCCTCTCGTAATCACCAATAATCTTTGTTATGATTTTGTCTCTCTAGAACCACTTCTGGTACCAAATGTGTTGGACTGGGTTCTCTAGAGAAACAAAAACCAGCAAAGCTTATATATATATATATATATATATATATATATATATAAAGAGAGAGAGAGAAATTATCTTAGGAAAATGGCTCACAAACGTATAGAAGCTAGCAAGTCCAAAGTCCCTGGAGGAAATGTTAGGCTGGAGGCAGCCTTAGCTTCTACAACCGCAGGGGACTGAGAAGCTCAAGGCTGGCAGGCAGTACATGGGCTGTTGACTCCAACGAAAGATGAATCCAATATCTCCAGGCCTAACGGTGGGCTGCTCACTCACAGAAAGTTGTGGTGTAGGCAGCACACCAGAGTCCCAATACACAGAAGAATGTCTCTCTTCCCGGGATGTCCCTGGATATCCTGGAAGCAGGCCACACCCCTAGCGAAACTCCCCTTGGGCAGATTGGCCACTCAGAATACAGTTATCTGATCCCATCATGGGAACAACCACACAGAACTGGGGTTCAGCCAAGTTGACACACAGCTCCAACTATCACACTATACATTTGCTTATTTCATTTAAGTGAAATCATACAATATTTGTCTTTTTGCAACTGACTTATTTCACTCAGTATGATGTTTTCAGGGTTCATCCATGTTGTAACATGCATCAGTACTTTGTTTCTCTTTATGGCTGAGTAGTATTCTATTGTGTGTGTATACAATATTTTATTTATCCATTCATCTACTGATGGACATTTCAGTTGTTTCCACATGAAAGTGCTGCAGTGAACATGGGTGTACAAATTTCTGTTTACATTCCTGCCTTCAATTCTTCTGGGTATATACCTAGTATTGGGATTTAGGATCATATGATAGTTCTGTGTTTAACTTTTTGAGGAACCACCAAACTGTTTTCCACAGTAGTGGTGCCATTTTATATTCCCACCAGCAGTGGATGAGGGTTCCAGTTTCTCCACAACCTCACCAACACCTGTTGTTTTTCATTTTTTTTGATCATTGTCATTATAGTAATGGTGATGTGGTATCTTGTAGTTTTGATTTGCCTCTCCCTAACAGCTATTCAAACCCACCAGCCACTCCTTGGAAGGAAGGTTGGGCAGTCTACTTCTGTAGTGATACTGCCTCAGAAACCCAAGGAGGGGTTGCTATGAGTCGGGTTCGACTTGACAGCAGTGATTTTTTTTTTTTTTTTTTTTCAGTTTAATGGTTAATGAAAGGAGCTCTCTGGTGGCACAGTGGTTGAAACATTGAACTGCTAACCCAAAAGTCAGCTGAACCTCCTAGCTGCTGCATGGGAGAAAGATGAGGCAGTCTGCTTCTGTAAAGATTTACAGGCTTGGAAACCCTGTGAGGCAGTTCTGCTTTGTCCTTTAGGGCTGCTATAAGAAGGTTTTGGTTTAATGGCTAGTGATATGGAGTATCTATCTAATGTGTTTGTTGATCATTTGAATATCTTCTTTGGTGAAATGTCTGTTCATACCCTCTCCTTTTTTGTGTGTGTGAGTTATTGGGTTGATTGTTTCTACTTGTTTAGATTAATTTTAAACATTTTTTGCTTTATCAATTTTTGCTTTGATTTTCTTTATATATTGTTAGGTGCTGTTGAGTTGGCTTCCTCTGTACAGTAGAATGAAACACTGCCTGGTCCTGTACCATCCTCATAGTCCTTGCTGTGGTTGAGCCCATTGTTGCAGCCACTGTGTCAGTCCACCTTGTTGGGGTCTTCCCCTCTTTTGCTAACTCTGAACTTTACAGGCATGATATCCTTCTCTAGGGATTGGTCCTTTTTGACATCATGACCAAATTAAGTGAGATGAAGTCTGGCAATGTTTACTTCTAAGGAACATTCTGGTTGTACTTCTTCTAAGACAGATTTATTTGTTCTTTTGGCAGTCTGTGGTATTTTCAGTATTCTTCATCAACACCACAATTCATAGGCATCGATTCTTCTTTGATCTTCCTTATTTATTGTCCAGTTTCACATGCATATAAGGCAATTGAAAATGCCATGGCTTGAGTCTGATGCACCTTAGTCTTCAAAGTGACATCTTTGCTCTTTAACACTTTAAAGAGATCTTTTGTAAGATTTGCCCAGAACAATATGGTCTGATTTTTTGACTGCTGTTTTCATGAGCATTCAATATGGATCCAAATAAAATGAAATCCTTGACAGCTTCAATCTTTTCTTCATTTATCATAGTATTGTTTATTGGAACATCTGCATATCAAAGATTGTTATTGAGTCTTTCTTCAGTCCTGATCCCACATTCTTTATATAGTCCAGCTTCTGAGATTATTTGCTCAGCATACAGATTGAATAAGTGTGGTGAAAGGATACAACCCTGACACATACCTTTCCTGAGTTTAAACCATGCACTATCCCCTTGTTCTGTTGGAATGACTGCCTCTTAATCTATGTATAGGTTTCTCATGAGCACAATTAAGTGCTCTGGAATTCCCATTCTTTGCAATGTTATTCATAATTTATTATGATCCACACAGTCAAATGCCTTTGCATAGTCAATAAAGCACTGCTAAATATCTTTTTGTTATTCTTTGCTTTCAGCCAAGATCCATGTGACATCAGCAGTAGTATCTGTTATTTGGCATTCTCTTCTGAATCTGACTTGAATTTCTGGCAATTTCCTGTCAATATACTACTGCAAGTATTTAAAAATTATTTTTAGCAAATTTTTCTTGCATGTGATATTAATGATATGGTTTGATAATTTCTGCATTCTATTAGATTACGTTTCTTTGGAATGGACACAAATACGAATCTCTTCTAGTCAGTTGACCAGGTAGCTATCTTCACAATTTCTTGGCATATACAAGTAAGTGCCTCAAGCACTACATCTGTTTGTTAAAACATCTCAGTAGGTGTGGTTTAGTTAATTACCTGGTATGGCTTTTCTAGCCATAAGTCTTTGTAAACTCTGTGGTGGAATTTGCTGTGAGCAACTGAGGAGCTCCTGATTGTAAAAGTTACCCATCTGGGGTATTTCTTTTCCTTTTTTTTTTTTTAAATTGTGATTTGGGTGAAGGTTTACAGAGCAAATTCACTTTCCATACAGCGGTACACATATACTTTGTCTCATGACATTGACCACAGTTTACCACAATGCAACAGCTCCC